TTTGTGAAGGGGGGGGGGGGGGGGGGGAATAGGACACATTTTTCACAGGTTATTAATCTGCTGTTTTGAACTCTGAATGTCTCTCTGTAAGTATTCCACTCTTGTGATTTTTCTTAAACTTTTCCTTTGAGTAACGAGGTACAGTATAATATACCACTTCTCTCACCACCAGTGGGGCCAACAGCCTTGCCAGGCCCCTAGGCAAGGTAGGGGAGGGGTTTGCTCCATGCCTCTGGAAGGGGTGTGGCATTGTGTGGAGAGGATGGAGATGGGACTGGGCTATGCCGTCCTCAGTGCTGGCCAGAGCATGCTGTGCACACTGCTCCAGTTGTGATTTAAAGGGCCCAGAGCACTGGCTGCCCCCTGCTGCCACAGTAGAAAATCTGGGAGCTTCAGGCACTTTTGTATGACTGGTCCCACTTTGATTCTCTCCCTCCCACGCCTGCCCATCGGTGGGCGTGCACCACCACCTCTAGAACTGTATCCCTTTGTGTGGTAATTACAAATAATAACAACTTGGAGCTCTTCAAACTTTGGGGTAGCCTTGTTTTCTTGGTATTTGATCCTTTCATGTTTTGTGTACCTCAAACTGCTATAGACTTCCCAGGGACTCTGGAGTGTACAAGGAAAGCAGAATCCTATCTTCATGTGCAAAAACATGTATTTTGGCACATCCAAATATTAACCTTTTTTTAAAAGAGGGCGTGGAAGAAAAAGAGGAATATATTTTACAGGAGTATTTGTAAAATATGGATATTACCATACAGTTTGTTGCAGGATTACCTTCACTATTTGAAGAGTATTCACTTCTTGATTCGCTCTTAGAAAATAATCTCAATAATATATTTTAAAATGTGTCCTGGGTTTTTGTTGTCTTCAGATGGAGAAAAGGAGAGTTAGCACCATGTGGCTAGCAAGTGCAGCTTGACCTAGAGGCCATAGTTAGATTAGCTGTTAAAAGGTTTGTTAGAAGTTGTGTTTAGGTAACTTTTCTCATACGGAATTTTTTAAGAACTTGCCATAAATGATCATTAACTTGACTGCAAAAATCAGACATTGTTTATTTAACAAAGGTTTGAGCAGTGAACGAATTCTCTTGTCTCATTTGTGTTCAGTGAGGGTAATAGCCACTAATATAGACAAAACTAGAGGCTGACCATTTCTTGTATAAGGTTTTATGCAGTATGTTAATCATTTTATAGCTCTCCTGGAATACTGTGAGCATTACGATATTAACTCAATATAATAGAGAGAGAGCTTTGAAAATAAGAATGACTAAAATATTGAAAATTAACATTTTTCTCCATCATAAAGCCAAACCATCATGGTCCATCTTGAAATCATGATAGAAAAATAGGGTACTCTTCAAATAAATTCAATATTTATTTTTTCCATAAGGGAAAATATAGAAAAGCTAAATTAATATTATGAAGTGTTACCTCTGAATTCAGTATTGCAACCTGCCGTCCTCCTGCACATGAACTAATGGCAAGATAATAGCCTTGACTGTCCAAATCAAAACTGAATTTTAAGTGAGTGCACTGATAGGTTATCACCAGCATAAACTGCCCAGCGGCACAGCTTCACAGGTGATTAATCAGCCCTGCCCAGTTAGAGGCTCAGGGTTCTGTGCATGGAGCTGACTGGACGGGGTAGCTTGGAAAGAACACTGGTTTCCACTGTTTACTTTCTCCAGTATGCTTTTTCATACAGTGCATTTGTGCTTGAAACCTTTTCCGGCATACTGATATATCTTACTAAAAGGAGAGGAAAAAATGTAATGTACAATGCTAATAAGCCTATTTTGAAGAGCCTCATGGGCAAATGGATTTGTATTTAATGCACCCTTCATTTTCTCTCTATCCCTTGATCTTCTTTTTAACTTGTCATCACTGAAGTATTGAATTACACACTATAAATAAGTTCAAAACTATACATATTTAGTTTTAATTAAATACGTTTGTCCATTAACCAGTTTTTCCCCATTCTTTTTTACCAGATAAACAATCAGATATTGTATGGAAGAAGCCACCAAAACGCCTCTGCAATAATTAAGACTGCTCCATCAAATGTCAAGTTGGTTTTCATACGGTAAGACCAGTTCTTATCAAAACCCCCTTCCATTCAGAGCCCCTTCCATTCCCTTTGGAATAGGATAATTTTTTTTCTTAACCATGTTACTGAGCATTGTTGAGGAGTTATCTGTAATGTTTTTTAAAATATCTTTCCAAGGATAACTGTGATGGCTTGGTCACCCTCTGGTGAATAGCTGACACAGATGTTTAGTGACTGTTTATCTGGTACCTTTGCTGCCACCAGTGTATGCACACCAAGTATTTGCTCCTTGTCTCTTAGACTTACAGTTAAAAGGTCCTAGTTGTGGCTCCCTACCCAGAGATACGCTCCAGCATGTGTTAATTGGGTAGCATCACTTCAGTGGCAGCAGTCAGGTACCTAAATAACCTTAGCACATATCAGGCTTAGTCATAAAGTCAGTGAAAACAAAGCTTCTTATTTATTACACCAAGAACAACTGTAATCTAACATGGAATTGGAAGTGTTAGTTTTATAGACACAAATAGCTCATCTTTCCAGATCTATGTAACTCTCTTCAGCATCTTAATTATTTACAAATGGACATACATACTGTGCCAGGACCTATTGGTATGTCTGGTGTCACCTCTTGACACCTACCCTTGGTGCTCAGGTTGGCTTCGGGAGTCCATCACTTCCTCTGAGGAATTTCTGCCCTCCAAAGCCTACATAGTCTTACTTATGTGGGAAGTGTTTGAAGCTAGCGACACCAAGCTGAGGTCTCTTTGGGTTTCCTCCTCAGAGCTCTGCTAGCCCTTCTTAAGTGAGCCGCTCTCTCCAGTCTGACCCTCCAGCTCCTGTTCCCTGTGATTGCCCTGTCATCATTCCCAGATCTCGCTTCTCAAGATCCATTTTCCGGATGTCGTCTTGACCAACTCTTTCAGAGGCTCCGACTCTCCTGGTGTCACCAGCCCCAACAGTCCCTTCACAGTAACTCTGTGGAAGCCTGAGAGCTGCAGGGGGCAGTTCACACCTATTAGAGCTGTGGTTTAAGCTGTCTGCAAACTCAGTATCATTGCATCATTCAGGTTTTCATGTTTTCTTCTACTACAGTCATCAGCTCTAGACACTTTTTTTAAAAATGGGCACTAAGATTGTGATGTTGTCAGATGTTTATATTGCATAAGCACATTCCTGTGTCTTAATCTGGCCTGGCTGAGAGAGCAAACATCCTGATGAATTTTCTTTCTTTTGAAATCATTCCCTGTAGCTTCTGTAGAACTCCTTGGCCTGCTACAAACCTATAGAAAACTAAGCAGTTCCCATATAGATTGGCTAATTTATAAGGGGTGTGTTAGGGAGGTGAATGGGTACATGTTGCTGGGTTATGCTTTCTGGGTAATGGTTAACTGGCTCTCAGGAGCATCCCCTGGCCCGCTACAGGCAGAGGACTTCTCCAGCCCTGCTGGGCCCACTGCACCATGGGTCGGGCTGGCAGCCCCCCACCTGGGATCCTACTTAATTAATTAACTGGTTAAACCTAACTAGTTAACCAGTTAACTAATTAAAGGGGATTTTGCAGAGACACAGAGACAGGAGGAGGATGGGTTTGGCCACTGGGAGAAAAGGGCAGGTTAGGCTATTGGTTATGAGTTCCAACCAGCTCTCAAAAGGGGTTAGCAGCTGACCTCAGTGTTAGAAATAAAGATAACTTTTCATGGAATCCAGAAAGGTTCAGTCTTGGAGAGAGAGCCACTTGGGGAGAGTTGGCAGGGGGGAACATGAAGCATCTTGCTTAATGTGGAAATCGACTTCTTCTAAAAGTGGCGTTTGGATAGGGCTAGAGAATTGGGGAAAGGCTCACTTGGAGTCAAGAAGTGTACAAGACCAACCTTGTGGTGGTTATGTGTGGGAGGAAATGAGATACAGCAGTTCACCAAGGATCATTATATGTATATTTCAGTTCCTAAGGATTAAATATGAGTGTATTTCTTATGTTTAGGTCTGCTCAGGAACTGGAATTTCTGTCCTGCAAAAACATCTGAATTGCAGAAAGGTCAGGGGGAGGGAAGAGAATTCCAAACCAGACCAAACAGAGATATGTGAGATTTTCACTGGGAGGTACATTTACACCCTCTTTCCTCCCCCTCCCCCCCCCCCCCCTGTACAAGCCCCTTCCTCTCCCAGCCCTTCCCCTAGTTTTCTTCCTCCCCCTCTACCTCCTCCCCAGCTCTGCAGCAGCTGGGCACAAGTTGCCAAGGAACTGGGGAGGTAAGCAAAGAAGCTGCCAGAAAACCTGCCTTGTTTCCCTCAGAATATTTATCAAAATCAGTGGAATCTTTTGAGTTTTGCTAAATCAACATTCTCCAACAGAAAAGAGTTCCACTGGAAAATTTTTGACCAGATGTATTTCTGTTCTAAGCAGGAAAACTATCTTTATATTATTCTGGCCATAAATGTCTTGAGACACCCTAACTTCCTCCACCATAGCCCAGCACTAACACTTTAGAGTTACCATTGCTATAACTTGGGAGAAATGTGCTCCACTTATATTATTAGCATGAGGACTGTCTCTTGCATATAGTGCTGGTTGTAGATACTTTAATATTAAAAAATTATTAACTTGGGACAAATGTATCTAGTCTAGTTTTGGCTTGCCTTGTTTAATTATCGCCCCACCAATTAATTACATAGCTTTCTAGCCCATATATATTTGTGCAGTGTATCATATACTTCATGTTCTGTTCATAAATACATATTATAATCAAAGTGTAAACACATTTGTGAGTGTTTAGACTCACACATCTGTCTTTGAGGATCACTATACACAAATATAATGGAAGATCTGTATTAGTGCAATGAAGAATGAGTTGCTGTACTTGGCAGAACAGAGGATTCAGGGGAGATTAATGACTTTGCCTGCAGCTCCTATGTTACTTTCCTTAGCTATTGAAAATTAAATGTCACATATAACAACTCACTCTCCATTAGTTAATTGCATGTGGAATGTGTGTCTGGTGTGAAAGCTCCAGAGGGTAAAGCAGAACACATGAAACTGAACCCCAGAACTAGATTTAGAGCTGGCTGTCAGGCTGTGCCTCAGATGAACAGACTGCTTGTGAAATCTGCTGCCACTGCATTGATCAGACTCACTTTTCTTTCAGCTTTCGGTAATTAAAAATGCCACAAAGCTCATATTAAAAGTGTGGTTTTGAACATTTTTAGCATTTGTTTTGGGACACATTTAAGGGAAATTCATCTCTAAAAGCAATAGAAGTGTGTGCCTGAATGCTCCCTTTTTTCCAGTTTGGTCATCCATTGGAATAAGAAGAGCTTCTTTTTAAAAATAACAGTTCCTCTGCTACATGCACTGAATTGGGAATACTGTAGCCATTGAATGTGTTCTTTTTTTACTATCTCTTTGGCTGAAAAGGTGTCATTTTAAAAGTTGTTTTCCAAGTAGTTAACATATGTATTATCTTTAGACTTCAGCAGAACAAGCATCTTGTCACTGCTGCCTACATTATATTATGGTACATTGATAATCAATGTGCCTGTCTGTTTGACCTGAACACCCTTTCAAATATTAATGCAAAGAAAGGCTCTCCAGGGGAAAGTGTTATTAGCAATCGGAGCAGCAGCTGCAATGAATAGGCAGTTAAAAGGGGAGGGGGGAAACAACCCCAAACTCATGGTGTCTAGACATAAATTTATCCTATAAGAAAACCTAATACATCATGAAAGTTTGTTTCAAAATTCTGCAAAAAGCAAATGTTACAGGTTTAAAGTCCAGTTACACTGTATTAAATGAGAAACTATAAACTACTTAATATACATTGCTCTAGGCCCAATGATCAATATAGCTCCTGGAACCTTCTTCTATATCTTCTTATTTTAAAAAAAATCCCCATACTCCTCCACTTTGTTCTTTTTTGAGTGATGTCCCTGTGGATGCTCCTCTGTTGGTGTCAGGCTCACCCTGGTGCTGCAGATCAGAGACTCTTTCTAGCAGTGTCCATTTCAGCGTTCTAGTCAGGCCTTTCATGTGTGAGAGTGGCACATGCCTTTGGAATTCACGTGTGCGGCCCGACTCCCCTCAGATCCTTCTTGACCACCCTATGTTGCAGATGGAGCTTGATCCCTCTCCTCTTCAGTTCTCTACAGATAGGAATTGATTTCTAATTAGTTAAAATTGTTAGTTCTCTGTTAAATTTATAGTTAGTAATAGTTTTAAAAAAAAGTGTTGTAAATAGTTAAGGCACAGGTCCTCAAGGGCTGCAGTCCTCTGACCTCAAAAAGGGGGGAGGGAGAGGAAAGAAGAGAGAAATCTAGAAGAACAAACAGAGAAGGGAAACCAGATAAATTGATTATCCTCAAAAACTCTGAGAATACAACTTGCCAGGCATATAGCTACTGACGTGCCACAAACCAAACAAACGAACAAAATGCTGGACTCCCTTGGTTATAAAAGTGTGGAAAGTGCCCACTTTCTATGGCTGCAGGTCTTGTATTTGTTGCCTGGGGGAAGCACATGTGCCCCAGAAGTGCACCCATTGCCGCAGCCTTACAGCTAGAGCTCAGGCTATGCATGCTGCTATTTGATAAAGCGGTCGAGCCACAGGCAAACAGGGATGATACCAATCTGTTGGAGTCTGCCACCAAGCAGCAGAAAACCCCGAGCTCTCCCTCACATAGGCCCTCGACCAAAAAAAGGGTCTCTCCAGCCCACTCCCTGCCCCCAATGGTTAGTACTGGAGACAAACAAGGCACCTCAGGCACTGCATGCCCCTATACCATCAACTGCTACAGCATCCTCTCCCTACACCATATTCCATGGAGACACGCTGGAGCTCCGCCCCACCCTTTATTCCTCCTGAAAGTTTGTTCCGATTTCCACATCAACAAGCCTATTGTCCTTCCAGCCTTATTCCCAAAGCTTCACACCTCTCGAGAAGAGGCTATTCTACACACCCTGGATGTCTGAAGGGCGTTATCATTCTATATAGACTACATGACCCGTCTGGAAATCTCAGACCCTGTTTGTTTCACTTAGGGAG